ATTTTGTCAAGGATGGTGACACCATGGAGCTCTACACCGCGAATGCAAAGGCCGAGAGTGTGAGATGTTCACTGGCGACTGCGGCGAGTCGAAACTGGGAAGCAGCTGGAACGGACATTAACAGCGCCTTCACCTTGACACCGATGACGGAGAGTGCTACGCAATACGCGGTGACGGCTCCGAAGATTCTGGTGGAAGCTGGTGTGGTGCCCCCGGGAACAGCGTACAAGGTGGATCGAGTCTTGTATGGCTTGCGAGAGGCTCCTCGTCTGTGGGGAATCTTTCGGGACAGGCGGATTCGCAACGCCCGCCTGACGGTGGATGGGCGCGACATGAAGTTCACGCAGCTTGAAACGGACGAGTCGGTGTGGCGTTTGCATCCGGTGGATGATCCACAGGAGACCATCGCGATGATGGTGGTTTATGTCGATGACGTGTTGTTCCTCGGCAAGCGGGCCCACATCGAGGAGATGTACTCATGGCTGGTGAATGGAACTGAGGAGGAGGGCGCTGGATGGAAATGCAGTCCGCTGGAGTTTGTGGGAAAGGACCCTGTGCGCTACCTGGGAATGGAGATACGCAGCAAGATGAAGGACGGAGGGATCGCCTATCACGTGTGCCAAGGGGGCTACATTGGAGATCTCTTGCGTGAGCATGGTGTGGAAACGTGGACTCCGTCGTTGGTACCTGCAACCCGGGAGGCAATGCCGCAGGTCCCCGAGCCGGAGGATGGAGCCGAGGAGGCAGAACCGGATCCTTCGGCGGTGCATGCTGCTCAGAAACTGGCTGGAGAGCTGTTATGGCTCAGTATGCGTACTCGACCTGACGTGAGCTTTGCTGTGGCTCATGTATGCAGTGCCGCTACCCGATGTCCTGAGGCTGCGCTGAAACTGGGGCGCATGGTGTTGCGCTATCTTCGTGACACCGTGGACCTCGGCTTGACCTACGATGGCACAGGACCGACTGTGCTGGCTTATTCAGACGCCAGCTATGCGCCGGGAGGCGGACGCAGCTTCGGATGTGCTGCGACGATGTTGCATGGAGGGTTTGTGGCTTGGAGAATGGCGCGACAACCCGTGATATCTCTCTCGGTGGCGGAGGCGGAGTTGTATGAGGTCATCAATGCCTACCAGCAAGCCATGAGCATCAAGGAGTGGATCAAGGAGATTCATCCGAAGGTGGACGTCACCATGTTGATCGACAACCTGGCGGCACTGGGGCTCGCGTCAAGTTCCCCAGGAAGCTGGAAGACACGTCACCTTAGGATACGGGCGCGATTCCTGCGTCAGGAGACAGCGTCGGGGCGTCTGGAGCTGAAGCACTCCCCGGGGGAGGTGCAGGCGGCGGACATGGGAACGAAGGCAGTTCCTGCACCACGACTGCGTGATCTTCGTGTTCTTTGGAAGATGATGACAGTTGGAGAGTTCCTGGAGGGCCCGAAGGAGGTGATCCTGAATGGGATCAAGGTGCCGGAGTCGGAGGTTCGCTTCAACCAGATGAGGATCATGATGATGTTGGTGGTATGTGCCTTGGTAAAGGGCACGCAGGGAGCAGAGCTGCCCCAGCAGCCTAAGAAGGACCCTTTGCCCTACGACGCTGGAATCGAGTTCTATGGCTTGATGGTGCTTTGTGGTGTGGCGATGATTGGAATCTGGGAGGTGATGAAGTGGTGCCTTGGAAGATGCTGTGGTAGTGATGAGGCTACAGTCCGAAGGGCCCGGAGACTTCTGCGAATCCGAGATCAGACAACGAGAGCCCTTCAAGAGGAGCTGATGGGATTGCGGGCGGAAGAGGTGCAGTCCTCGCCTCCTGTGAGTCAGGGCTCCCCTGTGGCTATGTCATCGTCGTCGTCAGCTACTGCGCCAACTACACGATTGGTGGAAAATGTGGAGCCAGCTCGGACAACCACGGCGGTTGCCGAGGAAACACAAGTGGGCCAAGTGCCCGATCCGCCTCGTACGAGGCAGAGCCCCGAGTACGACTTCGAGCTCTTCACAGGTGTCTTCTACAAGTCTGAACGTGGAGAAAAGGTGCACTTGTTCCACTGCCGTGGAATGAGGGAAGTCCGGTCGCGCGTGACGGAGTACCAGGTTTGTTCGTTTTGTTTGGAGCGCTACCCCTTGTACTACCGTAGACCTTTCAATGATGCTCTGCTACGCCGACATGATGGACATTGAGCACCCCGAATGAGACACCTAGTGGGCAGCGAGCCCACAAGGCGAGGAGGAGTGCTGGTGTGCTCACGTTTTTCCGGGAAGAAGAGGGTGCATGTCGCTGTCAAGCGGTCCAAGCCCGGTGAAGGGCAACAACGAGGCCCGTGAAGGGCAAGGAAACACATGGCCCGGTGTGGGCACGCAGACGCAGTTTTTACATGTACCAGGCATCGCAGGTATAGCACCTGAACGAGTAAGACCAAGGATTTCGTGTCGTTGCTGTTGTGGAAAAGGGAAATTCGAGTGAGCTCTACAAGCCATGGCCAACCCTGCAGATTCCATGCCTCCTGGGACCTCCAACCAGGAGTTTAGGGTAAACCCTAAACCCCAAACCCCAAACCCCAAACCCTAAACCCTAAACCCTAAACCTTGGGGGGAGCCTTCTGCTTCACGGCTTGCCCGACGGGAGACTGCGCCAGCTTCTCTAGCCAGGTATACTCGGTAAAGCCCGGACTTGCTAGCTGCTCCAGGACATACCTGCTCTTTAAGGGCGGAGGACCTTTGCAAACTAGAGCTCAGCCCTAAACCCTAAACCCTCAACCCAAAACCCTAAACCTTAAAGTTCTTTTTGAAACAAGTCCGCCTCGGCCCCCGGCCGAGAGGCGTCTGGAAACCAAGCTGACCCGGATCTGGCCTCCTTGCCCTAAGTCAACCCTTCCTTCCAGGCTTACTGTTGGTTAGAAGGGAATGAGGGAATGAGGTACCCTATTTCATCCCTTAAAGGATACATTTATATAATATATATATATATATACATATATATATATATTTCTACATATATACAGGGAGGGATTTTAGGTACCTCACCCCTGCCCTGCTAACCAACAGTAAGCAAAGTTTCTGTCGTCCCCACCCCGGTCCGCCCTGGTTCGCCCTCTGGTCCGGGAAGCCCTTGCAGGAGCTGCAAACCCATGCCGCAACCCGTAGACGGCGCGGGCAATCGTTTGGGTTTAGAGTTTAGGGTTTAGGGTTTAGGGTTTAGGGTCTAGGGTCTAGGGTCTAGGGTCTAGGGTTTAGGGTTGCGGGTTTAGGGTTGAAACTAGAAAGACTCCTTTCCTGAAAAAGCCCAGCCACCAAGCTGAGTAATCAACCAAGTGCTCGAATTGGCTGGCCACTTGGCATTTCTGCTCCAAGCTCGCCATCAGTCCCACCACCGAGAAGCACGCCTCCTCTGCCCTCTCTGCTTCCTGCTGGTTGGCAGGTCTGAGGTACCCTATGTAATCCCTTAAAGGGTACATATGGGATATAGACTACCTCACCCATTCCCTGCTAACCAACAGTAAGTCTCTGCTTCCTTCAAGCCAGCGCTGTCAAGGAGATTTCCGGAGGCAAGGAGAAGCATGCCGGCCAGCGCTAAAGCAAATGCTGCTGGAACGCCTTGCTGCATGGAGGCCACGACAAGTTTGCAAAGCTTTCGCAGCAAGTTGGGACCCAGGCCCAGGAGCCCACAGGGTTTAGGGTTCAGGGTTCAGGGTTTAGTTGCAAGGACCCTTGTGGTGTAAGGTTGCAAAGCTTCTTCCAGGAGGGGTAGTGGGTTTTAGGGGGAGGATCCTTGAACCAGTCCAGTTTCGATCAAGCATTCTTACGCGAAGCCGTCACAAGCTTCTCAAGCTGATACCCTGATTATATGGAGACACCCACCGGGCTCCGCAAGTTGTACAGGGTTTAGGGTTTAGGGTTTAGGGTTTAGGGTTTAGGGTTTAGGGTTTAGGGTTTAGGGTTTAGGGTTTAGGGTTTAGGGTTTAGGGTTTAGGTTTAGGGTCTCGCATGGCACACATATCATCGGCTCCGGAAGTTGTGGCACCGAGCGCTGCTTTTCATGCCGCAACCCGTCGCACGCGGCCAAGACTCCACCTTGGTGCCCACTGATCATGGTGAGGCTTTGGCCTGTGCACCTCACTTGGGGGCGTCGCTTGATGACGTCAAGGTTTGTGGTTTTGGGCAGGCTTACTTGAAAGTCGGGCGAGTCGATGCTCCAGCTGCTCAGGGCCTTGGATGCTTTGGGTTCTTTGCACTTCTTCACGTGGCCTGCGGCTTTGCCAGCCAGCTTCTCAAGCTCATCTTCCCTGGCCGCCTTCCTCGCTACCTCGTCCTTTCGACGGCCCCCTTTCCGGAGACTCAGACGCTTGCGCCAGCGGCCATCCATGTGGTCCTCGGCATGGAAGCACTGCTCATATGCCTGCTTCCTCTGCGAGGAAAGGTTGGGTATGTCCAGCTTCAGCCCATGACCTCCCAGGGCCATGATCACCGCATCATGCCTGCGAAGCATGTCTTCCTGCTCGTGGTCCGAAAGGGTGGCTGAGCGATGGCTGCGGGCGCGCTCCGCTGGCCTCAGCCGCAGGGCCAGGTCGAGCGCCGTCTCACCGGCACGAGTCCGGACATCCCCGGAGCGGCCATCTTCCAGCAGCTGCTTGACAAGGCCAAGTCGGCCCAGCATCGCTGCTCTGTGTAAAGCTGTCTTTCCGTTTCCATTCGCCAAGGTGACAGCTGTGAAGCGGCTGTGGCCGAGAAGAACTGCAACAACATCTGCATGGTTCATCTCAACCGCTGTATGCAAGGCCGTGCCGGTGTCCTCCATGTGGCACCGCGAGTACCAATAGAGGTCGAAGGGGTGATAGAGATGGTCATCGTCATGGTCCCTGTCAGTACAACAAAAATTCGAGATAGACTCTGGTAACGTGCCCCATGCATCGGCAGCCGTGAAGGCAGCATGGTCCAGCAGCAGCTTGCAAGTTGCAGCATCCCCTGAGGCAGCGGCCATGTGCAGCGCGCTACAACCCTCAGAGGTCAAGGCATTGACGTCAACGAGGTCAGCTGCCAGCGCCTGTGGTGAAGGAGCATTGTGACAATCTCAGTGTTGATAGTGTTGCGCCAAAGGCTTGAGGGTAGGGCCGCGTGGAGAGCTGTACCTCGCTCAGAACAATATTCGGGGCCCCGGCGGTTCCAGATGCCGACGTCAAAGTGTGCGTCGCTTTCTGTAAAGGCCGGGTCATCAAGCAGGCCCTTGCACACGCTGGTAAGGCCACGCAAGACGGCATGGTGTAAAGCAGTACCCAAAACCTCATAGCTCCTATCTTCCACTCCCTCCTCATCCACAAGGGGCATGAAAAACTGTGTGTTGCAGTCGATTCTCGTCCGGGAAGGGTTGTCGAATTGGCGTTCGTCAAAGCTGTAGTCGCTGTCGTTGCTGTCGTTGCTGTCCCTGCGCCGCGGGCGAGACTGACCATCCTGCTCCAAAGCAACAACGCCGCGCGTCAGGTCGTAAATGGCACTCGGGCCCCAAGTCAATTCATGCCGATTCCGGAACAGGAAGTTCAAGAAAGGCTTGATCCCTGGAAAAGGTGGGGGCTCCTTTCGGAAAGCCAGCACTCGGCATGGCGAGCGATCTGCGAGCGCCATGCGCTGGGCGCAGTCGAGGAGCGCGTCGACCTGGCGAAGGTGCTCCAGCCCTCCCTGCAAGCTGCCATCATCGAGGCTTGCTTCTGTCGTCGCCTTGTCTTGTACTTCCTGCACGCCTTCGAGCACAAGGCGCAATGACAAGGCCGAAGTTTTTGAAAGGTCCTCCAGTTCTCGCCTCAGGTCGGCCGGGCGGGAGTCGCCCTGCACTTCCAAGGTGCCCAAGTCGATGCCCGACAGGGCCCAGGCAAACTCCACGTGACCCTTGGCCGCCAGATGCAAATCCATGACTTGGTCCAGAATCAAAACGAGGAAGTTGACCACCGTCTTAAGCACGCCTCCGGGGCAAGTCATGAGAATCTTTGTGGCTAGCTATGCTAGATAATATACGGTATAGTATACTGGATAGTATACTAGATAGTATACTACATATAATATACTGTATAGCATACTATATAATACTCGGTATATATATTTTCCTACTATACTCTATTCATTTGTCAGACACCACGCTACTGCGGCGCAGCTCAGGGGAAGCTTCAAAACTTGAAGACATTTCACGAAGCCAGTGGAGTATACTATACTATATAGTGCAGTTAGTATGCTATACTATATGGTATACTATATCGTAGACTATACTGTATAGCATAGCCAGTATACAATAGTATCATATAGTATATAGTGAACAAACTGTAGCCTGTGAAGTCGACCAGCACTGGACTTGCACTAAACCAATGCAATCACAGCCCGGTCACGCTGTTTTACGACTTCGCGAGTTCAAGCACTTGTGCAGCTACGCCTGAGTGCGTCCGGTCGGACCGCACAGCAACCTAAGAGCTACTGTACGAAACTACCGTGCTCAAAGGCACAAGCTCGGTACTTGAGCCAAAACATTGGCATTGTTACGAATTGCAAAACTACACATGCAAAGGAAAACAACACGCTGCACTAGCACTAAGCAAGCACACCATGCATGCTTTGACCTGCTCACATTCGCCCCTCAGCCGAGGCTTCCGGCTCACCAAGAGCTCATAGTGCGTCAAGCACTTCCGCAACGCGGCAAATGGGCTAGGGCGAGGGTGTCGCGTGCGACCCTGGTAGAGCCCGCACATCATGAGCATTGGCATGTGGCTTGGGCGGCAGCCCGCACTACCAAACGGACGCACGACGACAGCAGCCCTCTACGACCCTAAACCACCCCAAGTCGCGAGCGCTCACCTTTGTGCTGGCAGGCGAGGCTCCAGAGTACTGGGCAGGTCTTTGTGCTGCTAGTGCAAAGCTATGGTACAAATGGTACACTGTACAAACTACCGGCCCTAAGCTACGGCTACGGCTACTCACCTATCCAGAACTACCCTACGGGCTACCGGACTCAGCGAGAGCCGCGCACATTGCTTGTGCCGCAGCCAGTGCAACTCGCACGCGCTTCGGCGAGCGCACTGCCGCGACCAGGACACGGTCCGCAGCACCTGCAAAAGAGCACCCTCGACAAGAGGGGCCACCGGCAGGGCATAGAAGAAAAGTGCGGGGAATGCAAAATGGGCAGGCTTCCGACCTGCCGCGGCTTTCGCCCGCAGTCACGCAAAAGAAAGTGCAAAAGGTTGGCGAAGCAACGTGCCGTGCTGCGACGCCTGCTCTGATAATGCGTGGATACATACCACGCCGCGCCAACTGGCCGCAGCCTACTCGATACCCTGAGGAGCAGTGTTGGGGGCACGAGTGGCGTTGCCAGCAACGTTGGAGCTACTGGCTCGCTCCAACTGAGGGCGCTTTGCAACCGCCTCATCGAGGGAGAATGCCTCAGCCGACACCCTCTGGAAATCCTCGACGTAGGACTGCGCGACAGGGTGCGTCTTGGGGACCTCAAGCTTAAGCCCTGCCTCCGCATTGGCTTTGCTGCTTGTGGTAAAATTGAGGCTCCCAATCAGCACCACCGCGCCGTCAGGCCGCAGTAGGCAAAGGGCCTTGGCATGGTGCAGCCCTTGAATCCCGGTGCCTACCTTAGCCCCGCGGCCGTCGCGAGCATAGGCGTCGCGCAAGGATGTGCCGCAACCCACCTTCACCTCGGCACCTGCGGCCGCCAAGCGTTTCAACGCTTGCCACTGGAGCTTGGTGCGGTGGCATTGTCCCATGTCGGCGACAATCCGAACGCTTGCGCCCTTGCCAAGCGACGCTTCGATTGCCTCGATGCAGGATGGGCAATCTAAGCTGTAAGCCCGGATGTAGATCACATCCTCTGCTGCTCCGGACCCAAGCAGCGTTTGGGCGGCCTGAATGTATGGCCCGCCCGCAAGGAATTCCGCTTCTTTGACTGGAGAACTCCTAGCGGGGGCTGGGCCCTTGTTCCTCCGGCCTGGCGTGCGCGCCACAGTGGCAGTGGCGGCACGTTGCACGGAGCCGGAATGTGCGTGGGCTGCGCTCGCTCCATCTGCTGGGGCCGCGGCCAGGTCACGACCCGCGAGCCCCTGAAAGCAGGAGAGCCCGCGGCTCTTGGCCGCGAGTTGGGAGAAACACCCTTCACTGTTCCCCAAACCCAACACCACCTTACCCTTAGCTAGGGCATCGGAGGCGGTACTCCGAATGGAGTCTGTGAGCGCAGGACCCGCGCCTCGCTGGGCCGCGTGCAAAAACCCTAAGGAACGAGCGGTGTCCATTGCGGCATCGCAATGCCCGCAGCGTCCTTCTGCCAGGTAAGCACGACAGCCACAGGCAGCTGTCTCCTCCTTGAGATGCACCCAAACCTTATGGGACACCCCTTTCTTGGAGCTCGCGACTTCAAACGTCGCTTCGGAGCCAAGGAGCTGAGACAGCCGCGCCTCAGGGGCCGCGGTGTTGCCATGTCGCAAATGCGCAATGCGATTGGCAACGGCACGACTCACGTACCACAGAACAGCACCGCACAAGATCACTACTACCAGAGTGATGGCTGTTCCGGCGACCCACACGGTCCGCCTGGCCCCATGGCCGATTTCCTCAACAACGTCGGCCGAAACCGTTGCAACCGCGTGCATGGAGTCCTCGACAACATGCACGACCCCGCGGTGCAACTGCAAGGCAATCGGCGCCGACGCTGCAGCCGCCAGGCCCCACCAGCCGTTGATGTTCCCGTTGAGGGCGTGCATCAACCGATTGAGGAGCCCGCGACCCAGGAAAAAGGGGGTCCGCGGCGGAAGCGGAACACTCGGCGGCGGTCGGGCCGACCCGCACGGGAAAGCTGGGACCCAGCTTGTGCTTGGGCGGGGTTGGAGCGCGGCAACAATGCCCGCGGCGAAAGCGCCCCAGGCGTACTTGCCCCTCCCCTTGGGCTTGCCCTTGGCATCGGACTTGCCTCTGCCCTTCGGCTTGCCCTGGCCCTTGCCACGGGCGTCTGCCCAAGCACCCCACGGGTCGCGGCCCTTGCCGTGCGTCGCCTCCTCGCGACGTCTCTTGCCGCCCCTCTTCTTGTGTTTGCTTCTAAGAAGAGGCTGGATCGTTTCCTGATCCATCGCGCGATTGGCCAGAAGGATCTCGTACTCCAGCTCATCTTGGCTGCTCTCGGAGCCCGAGTCCCTCTGTTCGCCGCGCCGCGGATCCGGGATCCCGCGGGACACGACCTCTGCCAAGCGGAGGGGTGTGCTGCACCTAAAGCACAGCTGCCTGAATGAAAGGTTCCATTCATAGCAGTTAGGGCACTGCCACCCTGCTATGCGGAGCGCTTCGCTGATGTGATCATCGCGCTCCGCCTTCTCCGCCTGGCGCCGCTCCCGCTTCTTGGCGCGCTCGGCCGCCTGCGCCTCCTCGGCCGCCTGGAGGGCTTCGGCGAGTTCCTCATCGCTGAGGAGCCTCGCGGCATCTGCCCGCGCTTGTTGGTCTTCAAGCTCTTCGGCAGAAAACCTCCGCCGCCATTGCTCCGGCGCGGTTTGGGGATCCACCTCCCACCACCCGATGTCGATCCCATTGATCCATCGGCCGTCGCACGGGGCGCCCGCATTCGGGCCGCCCGCGTGCGTGGTGAGGCACTGGTCCTCGGTAACCGGGTTAATGGCTTCGCAGAAGAAGCACCGCCAGCTGCCGTAGGGGTAAAAGCGGCCTTCGACGTAGGCTCGGTTGGCTGGGAGGGCGACCTCGTCCGCCTCATCCGCGGTGGCAGCCTCCATCTCAACCGAGACCTCTTCGTCCTTGACGACCTCAGCCTCCTCCTCCTGTTCCTCCTTGACCAGGGGCTCTTCCTCCTCCCGGCCAACCTTGAGGTGGGACTCAGTGCGAACCTCGGCGCGCATCAAAATGACGTCAAGGCTATCCGCGGCTGGGTCGCCCGCGAAGAAGGAGTCGATCTCCTTGGCATGGAGATCGTCAAGAGGCGTCACCAGGTCCGGCGAGTAATCTCGCTTGGAGCGACGCTCGGCCAGGCGTCGCTGGACGTCGCCCTTCGGCGGCTCGAGGGCCCGCCCGCGCGGAGCGGCCTTCCGCGGAGGCTCTGGCACGGCCTCCTCCGTGGGCTCGCTCTTGGGCGTGGACCCTCCATCGCTTCCCTCTGGGGCACCAAGGGGGTCCAGCTCGGGGTCGTCGCGAAGCCACCCCGGCGGATGGCTACCACCATAGATGTGGTGCGATCCATCCTCAAGCTGGATTCGGTCCCCTCGCCTCAGGAGCGGGACTCTCGAGTGATCGTACCCGTTGGCTTTGTGGTACCTAATCACTCGGAGCATGGGCACCTCCCCATACCCACCGTCCTTTCCTCGGCGGAACAGCCGTCCCCGCCAGTCCTGACGAAAAGGGTCAAGAGGTGCGGAGGGGCTGATCCCCAGGTTGGGCGGAAGAGAGGCGCCATGGCAGGCCGCCTGATGCAAGTGGTACTGCACCAGCGACTCAAAGGCTAGCCCGCATCCCGGAGCCGAACATCCGTAGTGGCCGTCAGCGTTGGGGCGAGGCTCCTCTGAGGCTGAGGCGGACTGGGCAGTCCCGCCTCCCGAAGGCCTGGCGGAAGTGCTCGACCCCGCAGCCCCGGGGGCGTCCTGACCATCGTCAGACACCTCTTCCCCGTCGGCGCCTTCCCCGGCCGCCCGACTCTCTCCCTCTCGGCGCAGCGTTTTGAGGGACTCCTCACGCTTGGTGATCTTCTCCAGCTTCACCATCGCAGTTCCCGCAACCTCCAGTATTCTCGACTGGAGCTTCTGCGCTCTAAGAAGAGCTTCGGACCGCGCGAGGTATTCCTTCGCGCTGGTGACCACAGACTGGCCGAGCACGAGGACTCCTTCCTCTGTGCTTTCGGCCTGGGCCCCACTAGCGGGCTCCTCGTCCTCCTTCAC